AAATATGACCCATAAAAATATATAAAAATATCTTTGCAGTAACAGAACAGAATAAATTGATGTTTTCTACACTCCTAGACACTATAACTGCACAAAAAACAGTTTAAAAATGCAAAAAAAGTGCATTTAGCATGATATGTCTCCTTTAAAATAAAATAATAGTAAAAAGCCTCAAATCATGACCTGTTTCTACATATTGTCTTTGTAACACTTCAGAAGACCTCTTAACTCTTGTTGGTATTAAAAAACAAAAGTTAAAAAATGCAACTATCCAAAAATCACTTCCTTTCAATCACTGAAAATAATCTATTTACCACATTTTAAATCTGGGCCCTAAAGGGTTAATGCTCCTGAGACCGTCTCTGTCTGCTGTGGCTCGATGGTGTGTGACAGAGAGGGGGGAGGGATGTGCTCAGCCTGTAGGTTAACAGCAGCTCATTCTGTCTGGATTTATGGTGTTTTGAGTTCACAAACTACTCTGGTTACTTTTTTAAAAGTTGAGGGACATTGCATTAGCTCGTAGCTGCGTTGCTGATCAGCACTAACAGGCACCGAGCTGCTGACTCCCGGTCACATGTGGGTCTGTGTTGGTGATTCTTACTGTATCTGGGTAATTACTGATAAGGTAACCATGCTGTAGCTTCACCGGTCATGTCTTCCTCGAAAGAAAGAAAAAAGTATGGTAGCTTGCAAAGCTGTCGCATCAGACAGTTTTCATCGAGCGTCACATCACACACACATACATGCCTTGGTATCTTTGTGAGGAATACACACAGCGCTCACAGCTTCGCTGCGCACAAAAACCCGCGGTGTTGGTTTTTCAAAATAAAGTATATCATAACTTTTCATTGATGTTTAAATAGGGTTTCAAAGTCTAATTATGGTTAGTATAAGAGCAGCACAAATACAGGATATAAATATATATGATATGCTTTACATTGTTTTAGCCTTAGAAAGGCCTATTATTAAAAAAATAATTTAAAAAAACTTTATTCTGAAAGTGTGGCGGCTATGATTTTTGTCGTGGCGGTGCGCCACGATCAGTTACATGTAGGGGAAACCCTGGAACAGGCAGATTTGGGCCACATAAACCAAATCAAACTGGGCCAGTTGTGGCATTGACAGATTTGGGCCACATAAACCAAATCGAAATGGTCCAGTTGTGGCACTGAGAGATTTTGGCCACATAAACCAAATCAAACTGGGCCAGTTGTGACATTGAGAGATTTGAGCCACGTAAACCAAATCAAATTAGGCCAGTCGTGGCATTGACAGATTTGGGCCACCTAAACCAAACCATAATCTGGCCAGTTATGGCATGTATTCCTAAAAGCAGTGCCATCATTGCCTGATCTGGCCCACATCCAGATCACAAACTGTGCCATGCCAGCAGTGCCAGCTCGACACCAGATCTGGCCCACACCTGTCCTCTGTGTGGGACGTCTCATTTAATGGCTATTCGTTTAAGCTGCTGGTGGTGTTGGTGAACAAGACAGTCATCATCTAAAAATGAAATATTAGTTTCAACATAATCTTTTGAGTTGACATCACAGTATTTCAGTACGAGTCAACCAAGTGACACCTTCACACCAAGTCCCTTCATCCTTTTGTGACTAAAACTGGAAGGCAGAGACATGATGAGTGTTTGTTGCTTTGTGTTTTGTAATTACGTTTATGAGGAATGTCTTGGAGTTCAAAAGGTTGGAGAACTGGTTGAGCGCTTGCGTCACTGTTGCCTTTCGAGCCTCTGGGATGTCCAGCTTCCCTGTGATCATCACATCATTGGCCCCATCCTTAGAGGGCAAGAAGAACACCCGGTCTGTGTAGGTCTTGTAGTCCAGAAAGGGGATTCGTCCCTCACTCAAATCGTTGGTGTGATCCTCCATCTCAATCATCAAGTCTGAGGCAGAAACAGGAAAATTGTTCTATTCTTTTCTGAACTTGTGCAGTCTCATCAGTCTACATTAAGACACGTGACATATTTATATTATTTATGTATAATACAAAACAAATCAACCCCAACAATCATTCATTAAGTGGAGGGTATTATTCATGGGAGTACATTTTGACAGATTTTCTTGCATATAACTGAAATATTGTGTTGAAGGGGATAAAGCAGCCACAAACACACCTATAGGTGTGTGTCCCCTAAAATAATCTGTTTCCCCACCAGAGGGTACACCACAAAGGCTGAAAAATCCTCAAGTCTGTGTGAAATTGGTAGTATTATAAATGAGGATTAGGGTTTTCTTTATGTTTTATTAGTAGTGGGTCACTTTATACTTGAATTGAATTATGCAATTATACAAAGACTAAGAAAAAAAAAACAGATAATTGTCCATAAAAATCAGTTTTACATTAAAATACTGTTCTCCATCACTGTTTTATAAAAAACAGCCTTTTTTTAAACTGAGAAAAGAATAACAGAAAGCTAAATTTTTTAAAGTAATTATGATCCCAGATTTTGTCATTTTAACTTCACCCAAAAGACAGACCCTATGAAAGTCAAACATTATCACAGACACCCTGTAGTTACCTGTAAATTCTTTCTTGCAGCGTTCTCGCACACTCTCCTCCAGGTTGTCGAGCTGGTGTTTTACTTTCTCATATTCCCTCTCTGCCTGTTGACTCTTTCTCCTGAATGTCACAACAAGCAAAGATAAAACATAGGTACCATGAAAAAAAACTACTGGAAAACTTGGAGACACGTTCAGAAAAAGTTTGAATGATTATTTTCTGCAATAAAGCGTCTCACCTGTAGCAGTAGACAGAAATGATGATGATGAGCAGCATGGGCACAATCACTGCAGGAATGATGATGTAGAGGGACAAATCATTCTTCTTTTCATATTGCACAGAGCCCACCACCCACTCGCCTTTTCCAAACTTGATCTGTGGAGAAATGTGGAGATCAAAAATCTACACAAGCTCCGGAGGTTTCAGCCAAAGATTGTAAAGGTAGGAGTCGTGGTAAAGACAGCGTGTAAGATAGAATCTGCTCACAGATCAGGAGCAGAATCTTTTATTTATTTTTACATGCCCAGTCGATTAGGAAGTTTTAAGGCGACCTTAGGCAGTGCAGTGTGTGTCTTGTGTGTGCGCAGCATCACGATTTTCATTTCCGCTCATGTTACCAGATTAGACTTCACACAGAAGCTGCAGGTCACCCACCTTTCTGCCATGGCTTGACCTGTGGTAAGCATTTCAACATTTCTGTTTTAATCATAACTCACATGAGAAGTAACTGCCAATTAAATGGTCCTCAGCAAAACACAGAGACATTTGTTGATAATCACAGTAACTAATAATAGTAATAAGAGTCATCAACAAACTTAGCACAAAAAGTTATTAAATTTGTGTTTGGTAGATTATTTCTTTGTTGTAACAATGCTTCTTGGATTTAAATCTTATACCGGGCACATGATTAGCAGAACCTGATGGTACCAGAAGCTCAAAACAAGTGTCAAAAAGCTAAATAAACAGCAACAGCAAAATAAACTGTTTGGCAGAGAATATTTGTCAAGTTTTTTTATGTGCGCAAACCACCTGCTCAGCTCTACTACTCACCCCTCAAATGCATGTTCCTTACAAATGCGGCACCATTTAAAAGGGCAATTAACAGGCTTTCCAATGGTACAAGATTTATTGCCAAGAAGCATTGTTACAACAAAGAAATAATCTATCAAACACACATTTAATTAGTTTTTGTGCTAAGTTCAGTGTCAGAGCATAGAATAAATATAAAGCAGAAACAATTATATCAAGTTATAAGCCATCACAAAAATGATTTCAGATGTGGTGCAGATAATTAAGTGGGGAGGGGAGGGGGTGGTGTCATGCCCTATTTGAGCTTTATATCATGTTATAAAGTCATTCCCTCATCAAAAACATACACAGAGTGGTACTTTAACCCATTCATGCATGTTTAAGAAATCCATGTATCTGCTGCCTAAATGCTTGCTGGTACAAAGCACCGCCTTCTTATACCTAGCTCCTCCTTTCAGCTGAGCTCCTGCCCCACAGAGCACCCCTCCCCATGCATGTCTGATGAGCCTGTAATACTAACTACTTCTCAATCCAGTCCTTTTCAGATTAAAAAAATGCCCTCATCGAGGAAATTTATTTTTGGTACAAAAGATTGTAAATGGCATGAAGCATTGTTGTGATGACATGCTGAAGTGGGAGTGTCAGGAACAGTAGGATGTTTTTAAAGAGACAGAGGCCAATTTTAAGGTTTTTAGAAAGGCTATGATGCAAAGTCAAATTCATTTTTGAAATATAAACATTTTTCATAACTGAAGGCAACACAGTTACTTGGTTGTGGTGCAGAACTGCACTATGTGTCTTGAAAATACATAATATCCTCCCGGCCCCCTTTAAAAAAGATGCAACACTGCAGGTGTAAAGACAGCATTTTTCTCTCATGAATTAGCGTATTAATCTTGCTTTGCATTATTGTCGATATATTTTGCTTTAATACTTCAGTAGTGTTACTTCCTCACACAGCACACAGCCACAGGACTTAAACAATATCTCACTTACAGAGTAACCCACAGGAGAATTACACGATTCATCACAATTGTGGGTAGGAATAAATTAAGTGTAGCTATAAGAGTCTGTAGCAACATGAAAGCCGTTCTGCTCATAACAATAAAAAGGATCTGAAGTTGCGTGACGGATAAGGCTGGAGCGGTACAGTTAAGGTTTGAAACGAACGCCCGTTCTTGCCGGCACATCTGTATATGCATCCAAAACGGGTGCCTTCATTCAACTACTGTTTCAAAGTGCACATCAGAAGAACTACTTTGAACAACAACAAAGTTTTGTTCTCCCCCATGCTCCAATTATTTTTCTACTTCACAAGATTTTACCAAGAAACACTTCGAACTCCACAATATTCATGTTTAGTTTCAATAAACTGCAGAGATTAGGGGTTTTACATAAGCTTACACCGTAGCTAATGAGTCTATATTAGACATTTAATGTGTAAACTGTAAAAAGCTGTTTAACCTAAAATAGTATTTGCAGATTTTGTATTCAGGAATAACTTGTAGGTTCAAAATAAAATGTAGAATTATTAAAAAATATGGTAAATTTGTAGATATTTTATTTTTATAGATCAAACAAACTATTAATTACGACAAGTTATTAACGAGGTAATTTTACTTGCTGCAGATCTAAAAAAAGCTTTAAAATAGCTCTTTTTTTCTATCAGCAACAGAAAAAGGCAGTTTCTTGTATCATAAACAAATTACAGATAACAGGTCCAACAAAGGACGCATGTGCTGCACATGCTTAACCTCTAACTCGGTTATATATTTTCTGCAGCTTGTGGCCGGCAGTCTGAGCTCACCATCAGGTCCAGCAGCTCGGGCCGAGTGTCTCGACGCTGCCGTCTGGAGCGGGCGCTCGGCGGGGTGGAGGGCGGGTCCAGGAACAGCTTGTCATCCTGAAGCGTGTTGACTAGACACTGAACGTCACCGACGAACGCTTGAGCCTCTCTGGCTGTCATCGCTCTGGAGAAACCTCGACCCTGCAGGAGGTGTGTCAGGGGGAAACAACTGAAATGCTTAGTGTTGTGACTACGGAGGGGGAATTAATCACCAGTAATTACATGCTTCACATAATGGAAGGCTAAGAGCATTATTTTAAGAACTTTCATTAAAAAAGTGGGTGGAAAAAGTAAACTTTTAACAGTTCTTTGCTGTTTCGTGAGCCAAAAGTAATTAAAGGTAATTGAAAAGACTTAAATTATAGTTATTATAAAAATTTTAATTGACTTAAAAATATTTGATCAAATTTTTGCTATTTTAGATTACACTTTACAATAGAGCTATTAACAGCAGGTTTAAACTCTTAAAACCAAATAAAACAAAACTATAATGATTTTTATTTCAGATAGTTGTATCAGATTTATTTCCTAAAGACAGTGTTGGGCACCAGCCCACTAAAGCACAAATCCGCTAATTGCGGACCTAAATATTTCATTTGCCATTTAGCGGACTTACTAATTTTTATAATGCATAATCAGATTTGTGCTTTCTAAAATTAAAATGCAGTACCGCTAATAACTAATTATCTACCAGTCATTATCTTGAACAGCGGAAGGTAAGGCTGTCAATGAATCACAACACACGTGATCTATCCAACAGCACCCCTTCCAGATAAACACACTTATTGGGAAGGTATACATGCTTGTGGACTGTTGCTTTCGGCCACGGTTCTGATTTCCCACAATGCTTTGTGTCTGCTCACGTAGCAGGAAGGCAATAGCAAAAACAGTAAACGTTTGTAATCCATGCTAAAGTTTTGTATGTATTGATTTATTTTACTTTACAATCGGAGCACCTTTATTTAGAAAAATAAAGTTTAAACGCTGGAGGCCAACAGTGTTAGAGACTCAGAAATGATTAAAAGATGTTATGCTGGTGAAGATTGGAGCAGCTACATGGAAAACGTCCTAATCCAGGTAGAAAAAAATCAAAAAGAAAAAATAAGTAGGTCCTCTGGATGGGTTCTTCTTTAGTGAAACGTTTGGTATCTCCTCCAAGAGACTTCTTCAGTCTGATGAGTTTCAGGTGAACTGGAAAGCTTTAAAATCCAATGGAAACATGAAAAACTTTAAAAACCAAGCTCTTATTTTGAAGGGAAGATACTAGTTTCCTGCTCCCCGTGCTTTCATTTCCCGTCAGTCTGTCATGTACCCAGAATGCATCGCTTCAGTTTTCCAATAAACAGTTTTAAAATTACTTTATTGATGCTTCTTTAATGAAAAATCTACAACAAACAAAAGAAAAAGACAAAGAAGCAGCCGAACTAGCAACCCTCAACAATTTTTTAAAGAATCAGCCGAACTAGCAATCCTCACCAACGTTTTAATTTTTACACCAGGAGCCAAAGTTCTGTTTCAGGAAATCACATCCCCAGGAATCGGCAGTTGCAGGATTAAGCTGTATAAGGGTTCATACACCTCTAGTTGGCAGTATTGTGCATATTGTACATGAATTGTCAGCTAGTAAGTGTCAAATTGAGCTTGTGCTTTGAAATTAGCTTCCACTAATTTTTCTATGACAATAAGCGTTTTTGAAGTTGCAGACCTAAATATTTTCATAAGCACTTTAGAAATTGCAGAGCTAATTTTTGGATTAGCGCTGCCCACCACTGCCTAAAGGCATTTATTATAATAAAAACTTCATATTTTATCCTTTTATTTGTCTTAAAAGAAATATGTTTGCTAAATACAACACCTATCAGCATTTAAATATGTCTAAAATAAGCAATTGACTAAGATAACAAGTACATTGTTATTTGCATAATCTTTCTTATGCGGTAAAACTTCAACATGACATAAGCAGCTGAAGAATGTAAATTCAGCATCTTTCCATTTTCGTTCTGGAGCTAGATAATAAAGCAGTTTGTCTTAATTCCTTTTGACAAGTATTTTTTCCCCCTAACAAAACGGCGCTGCGTTAATTCAGCTGCAGCATTAAGACGATTTGTGGCGTCTGTACTCACAGTGACGATGATGATGCTGGTCTCAGTGATGACTTTCTTCGTCAGCTCGTTGAAGCTGGGGTCAGGGTGGTAATCGAAGGGCTTCAGCTCCTTCTTCCAGTTGTCCAGCAGGATGAAGGTTCTGAGGTGTTGGTTTGGAGAGCTGATTATTGTTGGAGACCGAAACTGGATGACTGTGTCGTTCTTCTCGTGGGCGTACTGAGGAGTGTAAGAGTTACATTCATGAGGGGAGAGAAACAGGATAAACACGACAAAAAAATAAACCAGTAAGGCCAGACACAAAGGAAAATATAACTGGGTTTAACATAAAAAAATACATAATTTAAAAAACAACAAGCAAAGTGTGGGTGTTCAGGGGTTTATGTTGTGCACTGCCACAAAAATCTAATTTATAAAGAATCATGCACATCTGTTTAATCAGTGGTTCACACAGTTGGGGTCAGGTCAATAAAGACCAAGTAAGGAAGGCTTAAAAAGTTCAAATTACCTTAAAACAATGATGAAATGTTACTAAGATTTAAAACACAGGAATGAAAAATAGATAAAATAATGTGGTTGTTGTCAAGATGATTAGTTAAATAGCTTATTAGCTGTGTTTGCATACTTCAACCAGCAACAGTTAAAAGTCTCAAGTCTGTGCAACTAAATAAATAAATAATTCAAACTAAACTTTGATTAGTCCCAGAGTAAAGCTGCTTTCTCTGATGAGTCAAAAATCCCAGGGTCAGTCCTCTGCTGGCACATTTTAATTGAAACGTTATTTATATTACGTACTGTTATTCACTTACTGTTTTGATAATGTACTGAAAATACGTGTTAGACAGCTAACCCCCGATGCAGGGTTCACGTGTTTCTGCCAGGTCTGAACGATGTGGCTAAAAAATGTATCATGACAGCGAAATTATCAGAATTCTATTGGACATATTTTCTATTGATATTGATCACGTGTACATATATTGTGATATATTTTGTTATTGATTTATTTTCCTGGTGAAATAATGGTTTAATAATAAAAAATATTTACACCAACTGCTCTGACTGGATCCTGCTCAGGACTGGTTAAGTAGTTTAATTCCCCAAATAAATCAGTTCTCCAACTACATGCAATAAACATTTCTGTGCATTCTGATTCTTACATTTTGTAGCTAAAAGCAGCAAAACAGACTAGCATTTGAACGACAAAATGCAGCTGGTGTAATTTAATGGTCAAAGTCAATAAATGATTTTTAAAGTGCTTGTTTGTTTTTGCTTGTGTTAAAAAACACAAGATAATAGAGTTTTATAGAGACATTGTGTTGCAGCTTTGCACAGATGACAGGAATATCAATTTAATAGTCCTCCCACTAAACTAGTTTGTAAAAAGGTGTGTTTTTCAAAATGCACACCATTTCTTTCACTGGAAAAACTGTTGAACGAATCTTATTTTATTATTCTATTATCTAGTTTGATTTAGTTTCGACATGAACATTGATGCAGAGTTCATACATATTTTCCATGTCAGAATTCCATAGTTTTCCAGACTTGGGTGGGGAGGTGAGGGGGTTATGTATTTTCCAGGCACACAGTTTAATTCTATACCACATGAAAAGGCTGTGTGTATCAAAAATAAATTTGACGTAACATTATAGCCTGTCTACAGGCCTTGAAATTGGCCTCTGTTTCTTTAAGAACCTCCTACCGTTTCCGACACTACAACTTCCAACACTTCATCACAACGTTTCAGGGGGAGGGGTGCTCTATGGGGTGGGAGCTCAGCTGTAGGGAGGAGCTTTATGTAAATAGGCAGTGCTTTGTACCAGCAAGCGTTTAGGCAGCTCCATTTAGCTACCACAGGAAATTCAAGGATTTATCAAACATTCATGAATGAGTCGAAGCAACACTCTGGGTATGTTTTTGATGAGCGAATGACATTATAACATGACATAGAGCTTAAAAATGTCTATTTTGTACAATATCCCCTGTTCAAATTTTCAAATATATCAGTTGATTTTCAGTCAGGACAGTGGTCAGTCTTTATTTGCTAAATGTTTCAAGCATATAGAAAAACAGGAGTTGGGGACATGAATCATTCCAGTAAAGCTGTTTAAACCCGCAGTCAGAAACTGCTGGTGGCGCACTTCTGAGGCTGAGGCATTTCCAACTTAGACATGTGTCAAAAAACAAAAACACAATTATTGTAAACACAGAGGCACTCAGGGGTTTGGTAGAACTTAGAGACTTATAGTTGATGACAAGTTGCTGAGCATCAACGGACCTGTTCAGTCACAGTGTATGGGAAATTTGATATAACTGAGCATGATATGGATGCAGCAGTGCCACAGCTGCTATTGTTGCAATTTTACATAGCTGTTTATGTCCATGGGTCAGTGTCTACACCGTGTCCACTTTAGGAATCATCACACATAGCTTGTTCTAAGTTATGATCCTGAGCCGACACAGTGTTCTTCTCAGTGAGAATGGAACCATCTCTTAACAAAGCATATATTTTATGCTTCTCATCTGTTTGTGTGCAAATGTGTGGTCACCGATGTGGGTTTACATCTAAAGGTGACAAAATTAGTTTTTTCATAAGCGTGATATTGCTTCCATCATTTTAAAGGTGAGTTTCATGTTATGTTGTATGAGGTCAAATGTGGCTCAGAGTCATTGTTTGGTTTGAAACCAAAAATACTCAAACTCACCAGAAAACATAGCGTACAATTGTCTTTTAAGTTCAGAAAACTGAAGAATCTTTTTTTTTGGTACATTTAAGTGAGATTCAGTATTTTTTTAGTTTCATTCTGTTGATTGCATGGCAGTAAGCACACAGCTGGTCAAATGTTTGTGTATTTTTATGCACACTTTCACACAACGACATGTGCGTGGAACCTGACGCACACAAAATATTTTGTACTTACTAACCATGAAAACATGAGGCCCAAGACCTTATAGGGAACTCAGATTAGTTGCAATATTAAACATCATTTGTTAAAACTTTACTTCAACTATAAAAATGACACAATCAAAACACGGTAGGCTGTTTAATTTTTATAAAGAAAAAACCTTTTTTGTCAGATATACATCGCCATGTAAGTCAAAGCATTGATGATGATTGAATGTTAATTTAGGTCAATATCTGATATTTATCCCTTTTAAATCAAAGAGAAGATTGTAGAAATGATTCAGCCTGCAGCTGAACAAAGCTGTTTCATGGAAGGAGAACCTCAGCTTTATCCTTTTAGCTTTCATTAGCTCCTGTGCTAATATGGTGATACAGTATGGTGTTAGCTCCAGAGGAAGTTTATCATTTCGACCCATGTGTGGTGCAGAACATAGAAACTAATAAAAAATGTACCTTTGTCACACATTATAGGTTTTTTATAATTGATTCTTGTGCTTTAGTCTCAACTGTAACCCTTCACCATCCTCAGAATGCATTGCATCAATAACAAAATGGAGACAAGTAAACAAATCTAGATCAACATGTATTTGGAGATTCCTTTAAAATCAGGCTTGATGTGAAAGGATAAAGAAAATATTGCCTCTGAGTGATTATGCTCACATTTTATTTGTTATGAATTAGTAAAATACTCTGCTTTTTGTGATCAATTTATTTGTATAAATTCAGATTTTAATTATTTTTGGAATATGAATATGGTGGAAACATAAATGTTTTCCAAATTCTTTTTATTTATTCAGTAACTGATTATAGATTTTTTAAGTTTAAATATTTTACTTAACTAAACTATAATCAATTATTGTGGTTTCACAGTTAATGTTCAAGCAGTGATTTACATCAAAGCACAATAAAACATTTTAATAACATTCTTTTTGTGTTTTCTTTTCTATACTTTGATAAAATTATGAATAAAAGAAGATTATTCTGTTTATTATCTGATTAATAAGAAGAAAATGTCTCTTCACTGTTTAAGAAAACCTGTTATGACTTTAACTTGAACAGAGTTCTGTCTCTCTGAAAGAGGCCTTCTGAGACCTAGGTCAAAGACAGGTGGAACTGTTTATTCCACCCCTAGGTGACCACTACACTACTCAAACTAAAAGCAAATGCTGTATTGTAAGACTATAGGAACCCTGCAGATGCATGCAGAATGGCAAAGGTATAAATCTGTCATACAATTCATTAAATTGTGCATCTTATGATAGCATTTTAGTTTAGTAAAATTTATTGCTCTACTAAAAGTCCCATCTTTATGTGAAATATATAATGCATTAATAAGTTGTTTTATTAAGTGTCACCATTCATTAGCTAGCTACTTGTGTGGTGCAGCTGGCTCTAATTAAGCACCGTTAAAAATCTTTATCTTCAAATGGCTTTAAACAGGTCTCCTTTTAAAACTGGAAGTACAAGGAAGTCTTTATAAAAAAAAAGAAAGAAAAGAAAACCCCCTTCAGCAAACTAGTAACACAACTCTGCCATTCATTTCACCACATGCCAGCAGCCATAATGAGTTCACATATTTATGCCTAGTTGGACGGACTTAAACCAAAAGCAGCTTATTAATTTGAACAGTCAATGCCTTTGAGATAACACTTTGCATCCAGCGCTAGCTTGTAGTGGACAGGCAAATTTTCAAATCTCCTCTTTCCCTGGGCAGCTGGGCCCGGGAACTTGGCAGGGGAGGAAAGCTGTAAAACAGCACAGTAAAGTAATCTGTTGCAACCTTAATTTGGGTATGAAATTCAAGTCTTGAAATTAAATGAACAAAATTACAACAACCTAGCAAGTGCCCCAGTAGTCAGAAGAGTAAATGGGAAGAAACTGTGTAAAAGCTTTCTGGCTCAAGTTTCCTGGCAGGTTCAGGATTAAATAATGAAGTCGGCTGAGGAACATTGTTAAACTCTGGTGAGAGAGAAACAATACATCTGCTATCTGCATTTTAACAGGTTTTAGTAATTTGTGGAATCTCACTGATCAGTGGAAGTATAGGAATGAGTGTAAACACTCTGCTGTAACATTGGCGATGCTTTACAGAGTTTAAATTAAAAATGTAATTAATGTAGTGCCGCTCCTGAGCGGGTGCAAAAACATGGTGACAGAAAATTGATGAGAAGCATAAGATTTGAAACAAATTAGATTAGAGAACAATGCTGAGCAATATACACAATACAGACCTCAACAGCTGATGAGTTGTCTCCCTGGACCTCCATGATTGCGGTCTGGATGAGGTCAAAACCGGAGCCAGTGATAATTATGTTCCTTCCTCCACTAAAACACATGTTTAAACAACAGAAACCACAAAATAAACATGCCTGGTAAGTAAAAGCAAGATGATGCGAAATGTTTTTTTCCAGAAAATACTTTAGTTTTGTTTAAACTAAATAAATATGGGGTAAATTGATTGTTCCAGTATGTTTAACTAAACTTAGCACAACAAGTAATGAAATTTGTGTTTGGTAGATTATTTCTTTGTTGAAAGATTTCTTTGCAATAAGTCTTTTATTGTTGGAAAACCTGTTAATTTCCCTTTTTAATTGTGCCACATAAGGAACATGCATTTGTGAGATGAGACAGGTTATTTTAGAAACATCAGCAGTTCCTTTTCAGTCATTTCACTCAGTACAACACACAGCTGTATGGACACGCGCGCCTTCGCGCACCTGGCTGAAGCCACCTCTAATCACGTCTTTAGACTTTAGACGTGGTGATGTTGAACGTCTGGTAGCAGGCTCCACCCTCACCCTATAAGTTTGGAGTCACCAGCGTCTTTACTCAGTTCTATCGCCCTTCACCTCGCGATAGTCACCTCTAAACCTGAGCTCACATAGCTGCTGCTAGTTAGTTCAGCTTCTTAGGTTCTTAGGCTAGCTTTACTGGTGCTAACTGCGCTACCTGCTGGTTCGTGTGTCTGCCGCTCGACGCTACTTAAGTGACCTTTATTTTCTGAAGAAAATTTGTTTTGTGGTTCACAATAAGCACAAAACCACCTTCAAAGAAGCCAAAGTGTTCTGTTCACCCCTGTCCTCAGGGGTGCGGCTTTAAGCTTCATGAGAAGGACCAGCATGAGGCCTGCCCGGCCTGCCTAGGAATCATTCACGCTCGACGGGCGCGTGTGGAGCCTGAGTCCTGCCGGGCCTGTGCTGGACTTTTGCGTCCGACACTGGAGAGGAGAGTGAAATTCCTGGAGAAAATGCTGGGGGAAACTGCTGTTTTCCCACAAGACCCGCTGCTCTCCGAATCCAGCCAGACGGCTCAGTCCGCGAAGATGAGGGTTCGGCGGTCGAAGCCCCCGCTGCTAGCTGGGTGGACCAGATGGAGCACGAGGCGGCCTCACCCGACATCGAGGGGGGCAAGACCCAGTTTCTACTGGATCTAAACCAAGAGGAGGACGATATTCTGCAGATGGAGCAGGAGGTTCTGTCCGAAGATGACGAGGAGCCGTGCCCAGCTCACTCCACCCCCGCTGCTGAGAGGGTGGACCAGGATTCGTCCTTCTGGTCCCTGTGCCGCCAAGCTGCTGCTAAACTGGAGGTACAGTGGCCCGACCCCCACCTGCTCAAAAGCCGTCGAGATTCGCAGGGTTTTATCTCCCGTCTGAATCGGCTGATGTGAAGCACCGTCTGCCTATGTTTCTGGACTTTGTGTCGGAGCTGACGTCTTCCTGGAGCAAACCGCTGTCCATCCGCGCCTTCGTGCCCGGACAGGGTCAGTACTTGGACGTGGAAGGGGCAGACCAAGCAGGCCTGGTGGGCATCCCTCCGATGGAGCCTTCTTTAGCCGCTTATTTGGCTCCGTCTCACAACCAGGGTGTGAGCGGGCCCACCCTGCTCCCTTCCAAGCCCTGCAGATTCTCTTCAGCACAGCTGGAGAAAATCTACAAAGCCCAAAGTAACACCGCCCATGCGCTGAGCTCCTTCACCATGCTTCAGACCTACCAGGCCATGGCCTTGGTTGAACTGGCAGCTCAGATGCTGCAGGAAAACCCCCTTTTACCCCTGCTGAACGAGATCAGACTGGCGTCAGACCACATCCTGCGTGTGTCCAGCTGTGCAGCGCTGGCTCTGAGGAAAGGAATGGCTTCTACTGTGGTAACGCAGAGGCACCTGTGGCTAACGCTCTCAGACGTTCCCGACAAGGACAGAGCGGCCTACTTGGATGAACCGATGACGCCTACAGGACTGTTTGGTCAAGCGCTTGACGTCATCCAAACCAAATTTGAACAGAGGAAGAAGCAGGCCGAGGCACTTCGCTGCATCATCCCCAGACGCGACGCGAGGCCCAAGGCCCCGAGCACATCCAGGTCTGCGTCTCATCCTCCTCCGTTCAAGAAGGCGACGACGCCCGGAACTTCAAAGGCCCAGCCCGCCGAACCTTCCAGCAAGCCACAGCCTCCCCATCAATCGGCATGGCAAAGGCCCCCCTCCGAGTCAGTAGGACAGTTCAGCAGCTCGGAAGAAGTCAAAGTCCTCCTAACAGCAGGACTGTCTTCACAGGGACTTCAAAAACAGAGAGACAATGTTCAGCTGCAGTTGAAAAGACATTTAAATGTTTGTGTTTCAGAAAACGGCCCCAAGAGGCGTCGGGTTTCAAATGTTCAGTCTCCTCTGTTAATGTCCCGAAAAATAAACAAAAAACATGTAGCCCCTTCCCTGGGTGCAAATTGTGTTTTAAAATGCAAAACTTTAATAAACAGTTCTGCAAATGTTTTCAATGTGTCATTAAAGAATTATCTTTGTGCACAAACGAACACAATAAGCTGCGGGCGACTAATGTTGTCCCTTCCCCATCCAGTGGAGGGCAGCAGCGACACATCTCCAACAAGCGACTCTCTCTCTGGCGGCGCATGCGCACCCTCTTCAAGGGTACAAAGAACTGTTGCTATGGGTTACAGGCTGCAGTTCCGCGTCAGGCCGCCTCGCTTTCAGGCCATTGGAAACACAGTGGTGACAAACGAGGCAGCCGCCATTTTAAGAGAGGAAATTTGCACGTTGCTAACAAAGAGAGCTATTCGAGTGGTTCCAGCTGCAGAAACACAAAAAGGTCTGTACAGCCGTTATTTTCTTGTTCCGAAGAAAGGGGGCGGCCTGCGGCCTATTTGGGATCTGAGAGTATTAAACCGGTACCTTCAAACATACAGGTTCAAAATTTTAACGCTCAAACAGCTAATTCACTCGATCAGCCTGGGCAATTGGTTTGCGACCATCGATTTAACAGACGCCTATTTTCATATAGCGATTCACCCGGAGCACAGAAAATATCTCAGGTTCGCCTTCAAGGGTGTAGCCTACGAGTACCTGGTGCTACCGTTCGGTTTATCGCTAGCTCCTCGCACCTTTTCAAAGTGCGTAGAAGCTGCGTTGACTCCCCTCAGGGAAAGGGGGTCCGTCTGTTAGCATATTTAGACGACTGGGCTCTGATCGCAAGCTCCAAGGAGCAAACATTAGATCAGCTGTCTCAAGTTCTGTCACACATTCGGGCTTTAGGGTTTTTAGTAAACACCCAGAAAAGTCTATCAACACCAAGTCAGCAGTTTTCGTTCCTCGGACTAGAAATCTGCTCCTTGTCAAGCAGGGCTTGTCTCTCAGAAAACAAAGCGGCCGCGTTTCACCGCTGCTTAGCTCAGTTTCAACTGGGACGCAAACTGAGCTTCAAAACCGTACTACAGTTACTGGGAATGATGGCTTCCCTGATTTCAGTAGTACCACTCAGGCTGTTAAAAATGCGCCGTTTTCAGCATTGCTCTCAGTCCCACAGGCTGTGTCGTCTCGACACAGACACAAAAAGCTAACAATAACTGCTTCCTGCATGACGGCCCTCAGTCCCTGGAGGGAACCCGGCCTCCTGTGTCAGGGTTCTCCAATAAGGAGGGTGTCGTTTCGCAAAGTGGTGTCCACAGACGCCTCCCTGAAAGGTTGGGGAGCCCTGTGCGACGTCGCAGCGGTGAGGGGAACCTGGACTCCCCAACAGTCCAGGCTCCACATAAACTGCCTAGAATTGTTAGCAGTCCTGTTAGCACTAAAACATTTTTGTCCAGTTCTGGAGAACCATCATCTTCTGATCAGAACGGACAACACAGCAGTGGTCTCTTATTTAAACAGACAAGGGGGGACTCGGTCCCTTCCCCTGCTGAACCTGTCTCACACTCTTTTACAGTGGAGCAGTGTTCATTTTCTGTCTATCAGAGCCATTCATGTTCCAGGGAGACTGAACCTAGGTCCAGACCTCCTCTCCAGGCGTGGACCTCTAGCAAAGGAGTGGAGGCTGCATCCCACTGTGGTGGCCCATATTTGGGTTTTGGTTGGCAAAGCGACAGTAGATCTGTGTGCCTCCAGAGCAAACACACACTGTCCGCTGTTCTTTTCCATGACAGAGCAGAGCGCACCTCTGGGAGTGGACGCCCTAGCTCATCCTTGGCCCAGTGTACTTCTTTCTGTGTGTGTTTCCCCCAGTGGAAATGATACCACTTGTACTATAGAGGGTGCGCGGACAGAGCCTGTCTTTGATCCTAGTGGCACCCCGCTGGCCAGCGAAGTCTTGGTACGCYGAGATAATCAGCTTGCTAGCAGCTCAACCCTGGCAACTTCCGGTTCGACGAGGTCTCCTCTCTCAGGCAGAGGGGGAGATTTTTCTCCCACACCCAGAACTATGGAAGCTGCATGCTTACCTGCTGAAAGGTCCAGCTWATTAGCCAAAGGCCTTTCTCCAGCAGTAATAGCAACTATCCAAAATGCAAGAGCTTCATCTACTAGAGGATTATATTCCTATAAGTGGCAAGCTTTTGAATGATGGTGTAAGAACGGGCACCTGGACCCTTTTCAGTGCGCAATAGGAGATGTTTTAACATTTCTTCAGGAGCTACTGGATAAAGGGCTCTCCTTCCCCGTAATTAAAGTCTATTTAGCAGCCATTTCTGCCTGCCATGTAGGTTTTGATGGAGTCACACCTGGTGCTCATCCTTTAGCCGCATGTTTTCTGAAAGGGGTTCGTAAGCTACGACCTGCTATTAAACCCAGTATTCCCTCTTGGGACCTCACTGTGGTTCTTGAGGCTCTCTGCGACCCTCCATTTGAGCCTCCAGAGTCTGTAAAGTTGAAGTTTCTTTCATATAAAGTTGCTTTGCTTCTGGCTTTAGCTACAGCTAAACGGGTCGGGGACCTCCACACTCTGTCAGTGAACCCCTCCTGTATCCAGTTTTCTACTAATGACTCTAAAGTGGTTTTGCACCCTAACTCTGCGTATCTTCCTAAGGTGATACCTTCTAGTTACAGCTCTATGTCTATAGAGCTTTCCAGCTTTCATCCCCCCACCCTTTTGCATCTGAGGAGCAAAAGAGGCTGCATCTTCTGTGCCCCGTACGTGCTCTACACACTTATATCAGCCGCACACAGGATGTAAGGTCATGTGATCAGCTGTTTGTGGCTGTTGCTAACCCACACAGAGGTAAAGCTCTTTCTAGACAAAGACTGTCACTGGATTGTAGAGGCCATCTTGCCAGCATACAGCAGCAAAAACCTTCCAATCCCTCTTGGAGTTAAAGCTCACTCCACCAGCGGTGTCGCGACATCTTGTGCCCTTTTTAAAGGGGTACCTGTGAGTGACATTTGTGCTGCGGCCAGCTGGGCCTCACCAAACACATTTGCAYGATTTTACAGCCTGGATGTAACAGCACCTTCGGTGGCTCATTCTGTACTTTCTGCCGGGTCCAAAGCTCTGCATTAGTACAGTAGTTACTCAGGCACACTACTTAACTCAGGTCTGACACTGCTCAGCGGGGCGCTTTGACAAGTCCCATTTACAACTGTGTGTTGTACTGAGTGAAATGACTGCAAAGGAACGTAAAGTTATGAATATAACCACGGTTCCTTGAAGGAATGGAACGAAGTACAACGCCTTGTTGGCCTCGCATCACAAAAGGCTCGGTGAAGGGCGGTATCTAACTGAGTAATGACGCTGGTGACTGAACTTAAAGGGTGAAGGCGGAGCCTGTCACCCGACGTTCAACGCCACCACGTCACCGGTTTGAAGACGTGATTAGAGGTGGCTTCAGCCAGGCGTGCGAGGGTGCACGTGTCCCATATACAACTGTGTGTTGTACTTTGTTCCATTCCTTCAAGGAACCGTGGTTATATTCATAACCTTACGATTTGCTGTGTGTTTCCGACTGCCCATTATCTGATGTGGCTTCTTGTGGGTTACTAGTTTAACTGCCAGGTGTGAACATTGTAATCTGAACAGATATAAAGGCACAGGGCTGAACAGGGCCTCAGTGTTCAGGCGTCTACAGTACTAGACACTTCCTGTCTACTAATGGTTTATGTTAAAACAGTAGCTTTTCTTTAACTGTTCAAAAGTTATTCTAAAAGGTGAAATCAGTCTGTGCCTTATTTTCTTGTTCTTTTTCCACTTTATTGGTCTTCATGACATTTTCTACTCCACTCTTTTGCAGAGATGGAAGCCTCATCGATTCCGGCTGGATTATTTGGGTCAGGGGAAGAAAAGCACATTTCCTAAAGCTATCAAAAGAAGACAACACTACAGTGAGAATGTCAGCTGATACAATAAAGTGCCTGGATGTTGGAACATTATGTACTTCAGCCTATCGTGGCCATTAGTTTAATCCTATATAACTGTACATAAATCCTAAACTAGAAGGTGTAGATATTCTTCACCAGGCAGGTAAAACAAGTACCTGTTTGTTTTCATCTTTATGATTTTACTATGAATTTATTTTATGGCAAAGCATTTGATTAAATATCAGCACTGCTCTCGAAAAGAGATTCAGCAAAAACCTGTAAGATTTAAGATGTTTTCACTCTCCTCAGATTTGCCCAGTACTTGTACCTAAAACTAATCTACACTTGTCATTGAGTCTGTATGAAGACCCTGAAAATCTACAACACAAATCTCAGCAACAGAACTAATGTAGAAAAGTGACCCTTCACATGTAACCGAGGGTTAAAGTGCCTGTGACATGTATATTCTTCATATACAAAAAGTCAAAGAAAGCATTAAGGACCTTGGCATAAAACAAACAATTTTCTTTTGAAATTGGTTTAGCAAAAGTGAAACAGGAAGTGACATCAAAGGGGAACTCTTTAAGAAAGAAAACTCCCTGGTCTTTGTTCATTGAAACAATATTATTCAAACTGACTTTTCTTCATCGCTCTTTGATAGTCACTCAAAATAAATTGAAGAAACATCAAATCTTTTCTACAATCTGTGTTGTCAGGTATTTTAGTAACACAGACATTCCCCTTTGACATCACTTCCTGTTGCTTCACATGCAAATCTCTCAACAACCGTTCATCTGAGCGGCGTACAATTTGTTTTGTAATATGCTATAAATGTTTTCTTTCCAAAAATGCATTCATATTTATTACAAAAGTCTGATGTCGCAGACACTTTAAGACGTAAAGTGGTATGTGGAGATATAGGCTACACTGGTTGAAGAATTTGCAATAATAGCATTTTGTCAAAATAAGTCTTTTGAATGAAATGTCCAAAGAATTAACTTAAATATATTTTCAAGAACTTTTCTGTACCAACCAATAAGGTTTTGAGCAAGCAATAGTTTATTTTTCCAGCTGAGAAATCCAGTTTTACAAATATGGTCTGAGATTTCCTCTTTCAATTGTCCAAAATTTCTCATTATAACACAATAAAAATAGGATTTAGACCAATTTTCTAGGTCATCCCAAGTAGCAAGACAAATCAAGCCATGTCTCTGAAGTAGCATATGAAATCAGGATGATCTGTGTATCAAAATGTTACTTAAAAACAGAAATCTAAAAATGTGTTTGGGTCATTTTCAGCTAATCTGATTGAATCGGTCACAAATTATCTTCATGAATAATGGTCAAAAAGGCTTAAAAAACTATTTTCCTGACTTTTAAGTGGTACTTTTGATTATAAAAAAATGGGTAGAGAAAAAATACTGTGTGTACAAATGAGAACCAGCTGATACTGGAATATGATCTACAGTGCATGTTTGTGTTGAACTGACCAGACGAAGCTTCCTTTAGGCTGATGGTCCAGCACAGTTGGGTTTTCCATAAACTGGAAGGCACTTGCGATGGTTTTTGTGGTACTCTTCCCATAGTGAATTGTGACGGGGAGAAGGTCGGAGGGCACCTTATCTGCTCGGTATTCACCTGTTCTGCAAGTAATCACTTCTCCGAAGTGATCCCTGCCAAAACAAGGACAAAGCTCAGCACTTGCTGATTGAAGGAGTGGGTGGTTTGGGGGGTGCAGGGCAGCAAAAGGTCACCGTTCAATGCAAGCCACTATGGCAGACACCTGACAGATTGTTAAGCCCAGGCTTTCGTACATCTTGGCTCATTATTTTCCTGTTAACACTCTCCGAAATGTCACCGCAGCCTGATTTCCAAAGAACATTATTAATCGGGGGGGCAATTTATAGAAGAAAAAGTCTATGTAACATTTATTCTATCATCTGATTCAATTCACTTTATTTATACCCAAGAGGGCAATTTGAAGGCACAAAAAAGAAGCTACACACATAAAAGATAAACACAGTCACCACTTTACTGTATGATTAGTGCATTCCTAAAAGCCTAAAATTTGCAAGTTTAAAAAATCATGGTGAAAAAACAAAACTATAAAAGCATAAACACGACTATAAAAGCTAAAAAGACGCAACGTTTTAGGGGCTACATTGCGGTTAGAAAGCTGTACAGCCTTGAGACTAAAGTTGTCGTCGTTTGTTGAGTCCCTTTACAGGACTCAAAGAATGAGACTGTATTCAGCTAAAAATAACGACTCAGTAGCTGCAGAGCAGTTTATAAAGACAAATGGACTGCTTCTATAGCTCTCCAATGTACTCTCATACAGTACGGTAAGAGTTTATTGACATCTGAGGAGGCTAAATTGAAAAAAAAGTGGAATGAATGACAATAATTAACAAGATAAAAGCTTACACAGCACAGTCCACGCCTCCAATGTTAACTTGGATATCTTCCTTACTGCCGGTGTCCAAGAATTTTCCAGAAATGGTAATGAGTGTTCCCCCCGCCTTAGGACCTTTGCTGGGCTTCACCCCTTCAGGAATCGGGTCCTAGGGGAAGATGTGGTAGGTGGGGGATTATCTCGAATAAATACTCACACTTCCTTTACAGAGAGTCACAAACACACTCAAGTTTCAATCTGTGGGCTCCTACAGCCACAGAGACAGCAACACAAACACACAGATAACACTGCTTGGTCATAAACATGCACATTTCCTCTCAGGCTCCTCCAACGACTCCACACCCACTTTATCAGAAACATTCTGACACAAACTCGCACAGGCTCCACATCTGCCTCAATTTGCTGAGCAAACGTTTCAGTGGAGCAATTCCCTTTTGAGGAAGTTCTAACAGAGATATGAAAGGCCAGTTAAATAGATATGCCATGGCCTGATAACAGATTAGAGGGGAAAAAAGAAAGAAAAGTAACCGCTCGGTGGAATCTGATTAAAGCAAACTAGTTTTATGTACTTGAAAATGAAATACGCGTCTAAGATCAAGATACTTTGTTGTTCTTTAAACCAGTGCCCTTGCTTGGTATTTCTGACAATGTTGATAACTTAATCATTTTGAAAGTTTTTGTATCTGTGTTTGGCTACAAGTTTTACTCCTTTGGTGCAGTTGAGTACAACCTGTGTATACTTACTCTGTATGTGAAGTACATGGAAGAGGTTCCTCTCTTCCCCCCATTCACCTCAACTTCTACCTGGCCCCAGGACGTCTTCTTAGGGTCAACAGGTCCAATCTCACACACCACGCTGGAGAAATACACAGCAAAAAATGGAAGTGAAGAGGCAATATTTCAAGTAGTAATTATTTCCATGATCAGATCATCGGATTTTTTTGTAGATCTTTTCTTTTTTATTTCCTAAAATCAAGCATTAGGAGAAGCTTCCTGAGAAGGTTTGGAGTTTGGCCTGAAGGCACTGAGGCAGACCAGTTAAAGCTTCAGGGAGAAATAAACACTGCTGTTTCACTTTTTGGAGACCCAAATTCATTTCAATAACAAACCTATTTGATTAGAAATTTATTTAAACAAGGGGTTCTCAAACTTAATATTGAAAAGTCCAAATTGGATTTCTAGAAAAGGTCATAATAAGCAAATACATTTTATTAAATTTGCTTACAACTAAAAACCAAAGGAAATGGCACCATTTATCTACAACTGTCTGCCAAAATTGTCAACCCAATTCACATACAAAACTCTTGTGTGATTTGTCACAAGTTTGTGGGTGTGTTTGTTTACGGTGAACTGTACTTAAATGGCAATGGCAGCATTTTTGCTTCAACTATGCCACTTCCAGAAGCAGACTGTTGTACCCAGAAGCAGACACACATAAAGATAGTTATATGGCCAAAAACTCAAGGATGGAGATAGTACCGACGATGTGCACAAAGTACAGTCTGCTGAAAAAAGTGGCGCTTTAACCGTGACAAATTTGTGGTCAAAGTAACTGCGAATACCAGTGTGGAGACTTCAGCAGGAAGTAATTCGAGCTGTGATGTGTAGCGCAGTGGGAGGGGGTGTCGTATTATGGCAGGTGTGCACAAAAACAAACCTCGCGCCATCACACGACAACACATCGACTAGTTGGTGTCAAGACCTAGCATGGCTGATCGGCAACTGAGACCGTCTTAACTAGATGTGAGGGTGTGTAGGAAGAACTATTACAACAATGGAACAGTCCTGTACCTCCCTACTGTGCAGATCCTGGTTTTAAAAAATACAAAACTGTAGTGTCCTAAAAGAAACAACAATTACGCTTTTATTTTGAGCAATGCAAGTTAATGGAGTCACTTTGTCCGTCTTACTTTATTTCAGTTTAGACTTTAGCTGACTTGTTTGAGTTAAAATGCTCAGACACATCCCGGTACTCATTGGGCCTCATGCAAGAACATGTTCGTATTCTTCTCCTAAATTTCTCTTACTTTTGTTCGTACGAAGGGTTCGTACGAACATGTCACGTCAGATTCAACAAACTCTTCTATCTTCAGGAAAAGTGTGTAAATGAATTACACCTGTTCGTATCAGCTGCTCGTGCACGCGAGAGGAGATTAGCATAATTACCACCCCAAAAACACCATATAAGGCTATGTTTCCTGCCTCCGATACAAGTGTCCATTCATGAAAATGACAGCGAAAATTAAAAAGAAGAACTTTACAAATTCAGAGATTGAAGTCCTGCTCTCAGAGATCCAGAAAAGAAAATCTGTCATTTTTAGCAGGTCAGCTGTGGAATAAAAAGAGCTGCTAAAAATATAAACAACTGTGTTAAATCATTTTCATTTATTCAGAAGCAGTAGCGCTGCGCACTTTGGAGAAAACCCAGGACTCGCTGGAGGGATTACGTATCCCCTCTGGCCTGGGAACATCTCGGTGTCTCCCAGGATGAGCTGGAAGGTGTCGCTGGGGAGAGCGGGGTCTCCTGCTGCCCCAGCGACCCGATCCCGGATAAGCGGCAGAAAACGGACGGACGGACAATTTATATTGTTAGTCTAAATTATTACATTTAAAATTACAACTCTAATTCAAGCAGAATAGCCTATTGTCAACATAATTATGGAGTGTGATTTATTTTCAACCCAAAATATCGTCAAACTAATGAAATATAAGGTTATTAATGAAGAAAACCCGTCTGGATAACAGCAGACTGACTGCTGGTAAAATATACGACAGGCCTGGACCACTCGTGAATTTTGTTCGTATCTGAAAAAAAAATCTTAGAATACGAAAACATTGGTGAATGCCACAAATTCTCCTAAATCACTCGTACGCACAATTTAAGAACAAATCTGTGCGTACGAACGGTTCTTGCATGAGGCCCATTGGTTGTGATCCAATTCCCATCATGTGTGCTGGGGGAGCTCTGATATTAACCCCACAGGCAGATCTATGTTAGAATACTTGCAGACAAAAATAATAATAATAATAATAAAAAAGAATACTTGCAGACAGAAGACCTGCTAGTCTTTAATCAGGGCAATGTACCTACCTACCTTCCAAACTGTTAATAGGGAGGAGGTCATTGATATAACAGTCAGGTCTATGGACCTGATAAACAAAGTATGTGACTGGGAAGTATCCCTAGAGGAAACTATATCAGACCATCTACGAATTCAGTTTAAGCTGAAGATGGGGAAACCATATCCAGTCACTCACAGAAACCCAAAAATCACTGACTGGAATCTGTTTATCAGCAGTTTATCCCAGTTGATGGGTGGGAGAATTGCCAGGATCAAAACTGTGCAAGACATTGAGACAGAGGTCACAGGCATGATTGATGCTGTGCAAACTGCCTATAAGTCTGCCTGTCCGAAGAAAGTCTGGAGGCCGTCAAAGCAGCCAGCCTGGTGGACTCCAGAGTTGTCTGGCCTCCGCAAGGCGAAGATACAAAATGGCGAAGATACAAGTCCCAACCAAGTAAAACCAGGTGGGAACAGTATGTACAGTCCCGCAATCACTGTAAAAGTGTTTTAAGGGAATGTAAGAGACTTTCTTGGACAAAGTTTTGTGAAGATGTTAAAGGGCCTAGTGCCTCTTCTAAACTTTACAAACTTCTCAGAAAGGATCCAGTCAACTATCTATCCTTCATTATTCCACCAGAAGGATCGACAGTCACACAGCCAAGTGTGCTTCAGCATCTCATCCAGGTACACTTTCTGGGGCAGAAGAGACTGAACAGCCTGTCACAGTTGCTAACTCAAATCCAACAGAGGACAACTGGAACAGAGCTGCAAGTATTGTTACTAAAAGCAAAGTAAAATGGGCAATTAATATGTTTGACCCATTCAAAGCTTGTGGTCCAGATGGTATTTTTCCAGCTCTTCTCCGAAAACGACTGGAATTGCTTCTGGACACAATTACTAGAATATATGTTGCTTGTCTAGCAAATGGCTATGTACCAGTTGGGTGGAGGACAGCAAAGGTTGTCTTTCTGCCCAAACCTGGCAAACCAACATATAAAGAAGCAAAATCTTTCAGACCCATCAGCTTACATCTTTCTTGCTGAAGGGAATGGAGAGGTTAATAGATCGACATGTAAGGGATGGTGTTTTAACCTTTAAGTCCTAAACAACATGCATATCAGGCAGGTCTTTCTACAGAAACAGCCTTACATGATGTTGTTTTGAGAACAGAACGCAGCCTGGCACGTGGATAATATGCGCTTGGCTGCTTTTTGGACATACAGGGGGCATTTGACAATGTACCCGTAGAAGCTATAGAAAGAGCACTTGCCAGCAAAGGCGTGGATGAGACAACAACAAACTGGCTCATTTTCATGCTTCGGACAAGGAAAGCATCTTCAACTCTGGGGGAATGTTCGATAACCGTAAACCTCAGATGGGGTTGTCCACAGGGAGGAGTAATCTCACCTCTGTGTTGACTCCTGGTTGTCGACAGCTTACTAAATGAGTTGAATGGATCTGGACTCCATACACAGGGGTATGCAGATGACTTGGTCATACTTATAGAAGGCTTCTGCCTGGGTACTGTATGTAACCTAATGCAGAGGGGACTAAACATAGTATCCARATGGTGCCGYRAGCAGGAACTTTCTGTCAACCCGAACAAGACAGAATTGGTTCTTTTTATTCATAAGAACTCAAGGAAGGGTTACTCACCTCCAAAGTTGGAGGGTGTAGAACTCTCCCTGTCAGTGTCAGTTAAATTCTTGGGTGTCTATCTAGACAGGAAGCTTAACTGGAAAAGACGTAAATGAAAAGTGTAAGAAGGCAGCAATGTGCCTACACCAGTGCCGTAGAATTGCAGGTAGTCATTGGGGTGCTACCCCAAAGGTTATTAGGTGGATCTACATGGCCATTGTCTGCCCCATGCTATGCTATGCTTCTTTAGTGTGATTGGTTCAAATCCAAGTTGGGGTGGCAAGAGTGATGCTCACCCATGTGCAATGAATGGCCTGCCTGAGCATCACAGGTTCTATCAGAACAACACCCACAGCAGCCATGGAAGTCCTACTGGACCTGGCTCCACTAGATTTACATATCTTAGGGGAGGCCGCATCCAGTGCAGTAAGTCTACGCCAGTCTGGTAGGTGGACAAACCTATCTGACTCACAGCACACTAGAATCTGGGACTGGGCAGTTGCTGCTGTTCCAGTAACTGCAGGACCTGGAGACAAAATGGTCAAAAAATACTATTGTGAGCCAAGTTTAAGACAGAGATAGAAAACAGGTCTGTCTGGATTAACTTCTCTACAATTGGGTACCTTTGATGTTTGAATCGATTCGGTACCAATATCCGGTACCTGGGAATCGATACCGGTACTTAACGGTACCAATTTTTGGTACTTTGTGTGTTGTTTTTTCAATAATAAACCTTTATTTATTTGTTTTTATTTAACATATTTCTCAATATATAAAATTAACAAATATCAAGACAACATCCAACTCTTTGTATTGTAACATCAGTTTTTTAAACTAATTTCTTTAAAGTGAAAACTCTTAAAAACAAGACTGTTTTGTCTTATTGCACAAATTAAAATCCAGCTCCACGTGTTTCTATTGATTTCATTTCCCTGCTAGAAAAACTGTGTGATGGAGGTCCATGGAAGGCAAATAAGTTTAAATCAAATAAGCAAAAAAGAGGATGGAGTTAAAATACTGTAAATAAAGTATTCATGCAACATTTTGAGCATCCAAAACGAGCCCATCGCTTCAAGTTAGCTACTTGTGCACAGGTGTTCGGACTGTCGGGAAGCGCCTCTGCTGTTTTCCTCTGCCAGTCTCTGTTTAATGGCGGATGAAATAAAGAAAGTGGCGGTACTTAGTTTACTTTGAGCAAGCAAACGTCGTGTTCACAAGATAATTAATCCACCAGATAATTCAGAGGCAGTCTGTTCGGCGAGTTTTACTCCAGGAGCTGCGAGGCTTTCAAGCTACGCTCAGACCAAGCTCTGCTGCCTCTGTTTACTGAACACAGCGGCTGCTGTTGACGTCATTACGCTCTTGCGTGATGCTGTGTTCAGGACAAGCAGGGAAAACTCACCGCTCTTATGCCAAACCGCTCGCAATGATGCGTTTAGGTACCGAAACATGGTACCGTTTGATGTTACGTGAATACGTAGTACCGACAGAATTCGGTCTGTGCATAAAAAAGTATCGAATTCGGGACCCATCCCTATGTACGACGGACATGTCTCCCAGTCATTTCTGCTGTTTTACAGATGGATCCCTTCTGAAGGGGTCAGTAGGTTCAGGGGTGCTTATTTTGCACAACCACAGTAAGAGAGAGCATAAATACCCACTAGGTTGTTTTGCAACTGTATCTCAAGCTGAGATATATGCAATCCACCAGTGTGTGGCATCTCTCAAAGACCTTCAGTGTACACAGAAGGAAATATTCATCCTAACAGATAGCCAAGCTGCTATTAGAGCTCTCCGAGGGTCACACTTTACGTCATTACTGGCTCGGGAGTGTGCCGAAGCAGTCAACCAACTGGGGTGAGATAACAGTGTTATTGTTAAATGGGTACCAGGACATACCGACATTTGTGGTAATGAGAGAGCTGACTACCTCGCAAAAGCTGGCAGTCATGCTCACTTCAAAGGACCAGAGCCTGTTTTAGGTACCTCAACAACAGTCTGTAGGACTGCCCTACAGGCCTGAATTAGACGTTTAACACATTAACACTCAATCCGCTGGAGGGAGCTGGCAGACTGCAGAGAGGCACGGGAACTGATTAACGGCCCAAATCTAAGATTTGGAAAGCTCTCATCTCCCTGTCAAGGAAAACTCTAAGTACACTGGTTGGAGTTCTAACTGGGCACAATCTGCTCAACCACCACAAAATGGTGATGGGACTCCATGACAATGGTCTGTGTGATGCCTGTGGCATTGAATTAGAGACCTCTTTGCACTACTTAGGCCACTGCTTGGCTCTGAGTGGTCAAAGGAAAATAATTCTTGGGGACCCCTTTATGGATCCTGAGAAGCTCAGAACACTGAGTGTTTCTAACCTTGTGTCCTTCATCCGAGGGACGAGAAGGTTTGAATGAAGACCAGTGTCTTTTTGGGGAAAGCAATGGGCCCACTTAGGAGGCCTCCGCTCATATGGATTTTATATCCATCCCCACTCACCATAACCATATTCCTACAAGTTCATCCAGCTAATTCTGACCACTTATGCTCATGTGCTCTGTTCAGACAGGCTCATTCCCACTTTGACTCACTTTGTGCACATTCTTCAAAGAGCCACACCACTTAATCTGTAGAAAAAAAAAACACATTTCACTGAACCTAACCAGTGCATTTCAATGTAGTGTAATGTAACATTTGGGCTGGGTCTGTATCAGCTTGCTTTTCAGTTTGGATCTAAAACTATATTTTAACATTTGAACTCTAAATCCTTCTTCAGCTTTGAAGTTTAAGATGTTGAAACTGCAGTCACATCTCCTGCCTAACAGATGAGCACCGCATCCTATTTCAGAAAAGACAAAGTGTCAAAAGGGACTCAAATCATGAAAAACTACAGGGTATGGTAAACTGACATGTTTGATACATTCATCTAAAACTGAGTAATCGTGACTCATTAGCTATAAATGAGCAAGTTCCAATGATGGATAGACTGCTCATATTGCTTTCCAATGTATTCTCATATTAAAGTATCTGGAGCTTTTATATTATGTGATCAACCAAACATATTCAGGCCTGCAGCGTCCCTTTGAACAAAATGTGTTGCAGATAAAAAAAAAAGGTTTGGAACATTACAGCAGCGGCCTAAAATAAGATGTGAGAAAATAAAATACTGCTGTGCAAATCTTGTTAAAACTTAAAGAACTCAAGATACCACCAGGAACGTGAACGTGCACTGCCGGTAACAAGAAGAGCACAGGCATCTTGACAACAAAAGCACATGATTTAAGAGTGGAACATCTCCATCTGGTCCTTTTAATCCCACTTTATGCCTCATGCAGATGGTGGGGCAGGAATTTGTCGTAAATGTAGCTTCATCCTGCCAGGTGCCAACGGTTCAGACAAGTGGCTGTTTTCTCTTTTATAGACCATTTGTATGTAGTGTGGGCTTTTTAAACCCAGCTATCACTGAAGTCATTTGGAAGAGTTAAATTAAATTAGATTTTTTAAAGTATTTACTGCCAATTAAAGCGCCAATGGGGTGAGGTGAACAGACCACCAAAAATCTGGGAAGCGTGTATGATTATATCACAGTGGTTTGCTGTGAAATCAACTCAGGCTGCTTTGTAGACACAATTAATGTCCTATTTGTTGACAGCTGAGTGTCAGATTCAAGAGGGGAAATTTTAAAAAGTACAATAAAAACATTTAAGTTTAATTTATGAATACCATAACATTCCACTTGTTTATTTGAAAGACAAAAAGTTTACCATATTTATCTTGCGACGCTGTAACATAAGCGGCCGACCAATTCGGCCTTCACAGGACGCAGCCCAAGACTTTGGTTGGAGCATTCAAATTGTGAATATATTTTATCAAGTAAGATTTGTGGAGAATATGTACTGTACATTACTGTTGTTGCTCAGATTATAAATATTCAGTCTCTTTTTCTTCTTTCCAAGGTGTTTTGCTTTCACTGCCATGCCAAAGTCAAAGGTCTAAATGCTTTGTTTAAAAACAAACATTACAAGGATAAATAATCCACACTTTTACAGAACAGATGTAAAAGTTGCTTAAGCTGTAAAAGTTTTTTTTGTTTGTTTCAGATGTTTCCTCTTATCTCAGCTGCATGTACATATATACACATATACGTATATATACACATACATACAGTACATATACTGTATATATAC